TAATATAATATAATATAATATAATATAATATAATATAATATAATATAATATAATATAATAATATAATATAATTAATATAATATATTTATTATATTATTGGTTAGAATTATTGAATAATAATTGTTAGAATTATAAACTTATGTGACCGCTCAGACTTTGAAATAATTTTACTATCTACAGCAGAGCCATAGTAAGTTTCTCTAAGTCACGGGAGAGAGGGTGATACCTATATTTATCCCTCATGTGCCATAGGAAGTACTGCAAATTTGCTTTATTCATGTTGCCATGAAATAGATTTCAGTTCTGGATTGAATTATATTTGCAAAAGAAAGATAAAAAAGAAACTACTCTCCTATTGTATCTTCTTAATATAGACACATATTTATTACCTTATTTTTGTATACTGTCTTTCATGTGCTGCTGAAAGAAGCATATACATTTTTCAAGTAAATGAATACATTCATTAGCAAAGTTGAAGTTTAGATCTGGATCAAACCTAGAACTAATATTGGATCATAATATTACCTATGAACTAATATTGGCTGACTTGGGATTTAAGAAATTAGATTTAACTTTATTCACAGAGATACTCATTTCAAGTGCTAATGCTTCCAGGTTGCCCGTAGGGCCGTTTTTCGCCCTCTGGAGCTTTCAGGAAAAAAGGCCCAAGGTGCAAACTGGAAGTCGTTTTCCAAATTTCCGGTTTGCGTGGTGGGTTCTTCTTCACCCTCCAGAGGCTTCAGGAAAGCCTCCGGAAGGCGAAAAACAGCCAAAAAAGAAGGCCAAAGTCAGCTGGCAAGCGCACACATGCATGCTGGAGCTAACAGGGCAACGCCTTGTATGCCCTAAGAAATGGCTCCGCGTAGCACCTGTGGCACATGTGCCATAGATTCGCCATCATGGGCCTAGAGAATGTAGAGGTATGCCTCCTGAAGTTCCCATTTAAACTCTGTGAAACAACTATTGTAAGATACCAAAATAATAAATCTTGGATTCATCCTTCAGTTTATCCTCAGAACAAATTGTTAGTGGATTGGACTGAGAGAAAATGACTGCATGAAAAGTCAATGTAAGGGTTAATTGTAGTAAGGCCTTACTTTATTAATAAAATGACAAGTTACAATTCAGGGTTTGTTTGTTTTTGCCTATTGGCAGAGTGCATAGTTGCTGAAACAAATCTGTCACCCAGGTAATCATATTTCAAAAAATATAAAACTGTCTTCAATCAAAAATCAATATTTTTTTTTCATTTTCTTTTCTTAAGATAGAGCATATTGTCCAAGGACATGCTGCTTTCCCAGAACTACAAACAAAATCTGAAGCCAGGTCAGGTCATAAACCTTATTTCTTCTTCATTTATTATTCCATTTAGAAATTTCTTTTTGGCTGTTATACAGAAAAACCAGTTAGCCAGAGTCTTCCAACTTCATTTGGGATTGTGGGTTGAGCTGTGTCTCATATTTACATGTCTGTCCAAACTTCTTTATCCTCCTTATTGTAGCATACATTTTTAATACACCTGAGGAATGAGTCACATGTTTATTTCTAAGATACTTTTATCAACAGAAGTTGATTTTTTTCTAGTCATGGTAGGATTGTAAAATATTTTTTGTGACTGCCTGGACAACAGTTCAGCCTAGTTTTCACACGCTTAATTTCAGTGCTTAGATACACATTTATCTTTGCGAAATTCCTTCCAAAATCTCATCTTTTAATAATGGTACCATTCTTGGTAAGATTAACTTTACAATGAAACAGTTACAAAACTCTTATAATAATATAAATAATGGTAAGTTAATTGTTTGAGACTTAAAAATTCATATGAGTGATGTCACCTAGTCCCTCCTTCTCAAACAATTAAATAGAATCTTTGATTCTTTGCCACTAAATGGTGCTCAGCACTAATCAGAAGGGATAAACTCTGATATTAATATTGTTTATTTCACAGAAAAGAAAGTTTTTAGCTTTTACATAAGGGGAAGAACTCAGTGAAAGTCCCTTAATAATCATACAAAAGCATTTGGCATATGTTTGAACCATTCCATACAGATCTCCTATTTTTAACCCACTCACCAATGATTCTTCAGTCTCTCACAATAACTTTTTTTACTTAGGAAATGATAGCTCATTTTATAACTTAACAATTTCAATTTTTTATAGACTAATTATAGACTAATCAAACATATACACTTTCCTATTGTGTAACAAATAATTTGTTCCGTGTATCCCCTCAACTAGCAGATATGTGCGGTGTGCTTATATGCATTCAGGATATGTATTTAAGTTTTGAATTGAAAACTTGAAATATTTTTTAAAAGTCCAATCTATGTAGCAGTTTGGGAAATATGAATTAGATCAGTTCAGTTAAATATGTGCTCCAAATAAAATTATTTCCACTCAAGTGCAAAGGCTGCTGCTCTAGAGAGAAGACCAAGTGGAAATAAGGAAGGAAAAGAAATATTACCTCATACCGGCATGTTAACCATTATGCAGGTTTTTAGGGAGGGGAATTTAATGTAACAGAGTAGGGGACTTTTAAAAATATGAGTTAGAGAGAATATTTAGGTTTGAAGATTATTATCTCTTCAATTTTCAGTTTTGACGTCAGGATCTCTCTTCTAACACACTGAAAATAAATTGATCCTCCCCTATAATACCAGAAAATTCAGTTTATTCTTAATTAAAATGTGATTTTTTAAAGCTGGACAGAGATGAGTTCTGGTTAAAAGATTTTCACAATGTTACGTTACATAAGGACACTAATTTTATACTATACACTATGAGAACCAATTTGGTATAGTGGTTAAGGCCCCAAGCTAAAAAGTGGGTAACTCTGAGTTCTAGTCCCACCTTAGGCGCAAAGGCAGCTGGGTGACTTTGAACCAGTTACATTCTCTCAGACCTGGGAAGAAGACAATGGCAAATGTGGTTGGCCACTTAATAAAGATGATAGTGAGGTGATGTTTCATTGATTTTACCCCTTTAAGGATTTTATGTTTATTTTGTTGTAAATGCTTGGAGTCTTTGTAAAATCAGTGGAGGGATATAAATATCACAGACATTTGTTTATATATTCTGAACATCAAGTAATTGGGTTAAATAGAGAGAATCATATAGATAAATACAAGAGATTTGAATAAAGCACCTGAAATCCAGGCAATCCCCAGATAAAATAGTACTGGAATAAAAGAAGATGAGAATAAGAACTTTGTTGAGACAAGCTATATCAGGGTTGTCAAACTTGCATTGTCAGGGTCTCGTCATATGACCTATTGGAACTTTCCCCCCCTTCGCTACACTGCTGGGATGAGGCCAGCACTTGATGCTTCTGGCCCGCACGCAGTGAGTTTGACACCCCTGAGCTATAAGGGCAACCAATTCTTATGGCCACACACCATCCTTGTGTCTTTATTTTCGTAATATTAAATAGAAAAGAGACACACACACAAAAATAATCATTTCAGAGGGTCATACCATATCTTCTGTTTTCATTTACCATAATAGATGTCCCCCCCCCATATAATCATAATTGGAAACCATTCTTGTATTCTTCTCTCCACGTTCCCTTTTGTCCTGTAGTTTTTTTCCCCATTTTTTCCCAATGGCCAAAATTGTGCAAATGAAGTAATAAAAACATTTAAAATTAATGCAATTTAAATAATTAATAGCTACATTAGCACAATAACTGATCAAACAAAAGCAGTCTTACACAAACAATTATTTGCAAATTGTGCACTTATTTGCAGCAAATGAGATTTCATTGTTTGAGCACATGTCCCCCAAAGAATTTACATTTTTTTGCTAATTTTCTTTAATATATCTTTTGAAGACCAGTAATATAGAAGTCTTTAAAAATATTATTATATATTTCTATGGGTGTATTGCTTTGCCAATTGATGTTACAGAACATTTAATCATGGTTTATAGCTTTATATTCAGTTTAATTTATTAAAAATTAATAATTTATCAAATTTGGAAATCACCCATCTCCCTCACAAAGATGTATTTGTCTGCAGCTAATGCATAGGATTGTTTTGACCTGAAAAACATTTCCAAAACCATTTTACAATCTCACTCAAGTTCAAACAATTGACTAAAGATCCAGTTCGGTATACTGATGAAGGCACTAGGCTAGAAAGCAAAAGACTGTGAGTTTAAGTCCCACCTTAGCCATGAAGCCAGCTGGGTAAGTTTGTTAGTTAGTTAGTTTATTAGATTTAAAATATATATATATATATATATATGGAAAGCTTTACGAATTTGCGTGTCGTCCTTGCGCAGGGGCCATGCTAATCTCTTATCGTTCCAATTTTAGTATATGTGCTGCCGAAGCGAGCACTAGTTAGTTTATTAGACTTGTATGCCACCCTATTCCCAAGGGGAGTCAGGGCGGCTAACAAACTAAAGGGGATAGGGGTAGTACAAAAAAGACAAACAAGACAAAAAGCAAAATACAAAAACAGATTAAAACACCACAACAGCCACAACAATTCGAGTGGGGTTGGGAACTCATCAGCCCCAGGCCTGCTGGAACAGCCAGGTCTTGACGGCTTTGCGGAAAGCCTGAAGGGTGGTAAGGGTCTGAATCTCCATGGGGAGATTGTTCCAGAGGGCTTGAGCAGCCACAGAGAAGGCCCTCCCCCGGGTGGTCGACAGTCGACACTGGCTAGCTGATGGAACCCAGAAGAGGCCTAATCTGTGGGATCTAATTGGTCGCAGGGAGGTAATTGGCAGGAGGCGGTCTCTCAAGTACCCAGGTCCGATACCATGCAGGGCTTTAAAAGTAACGACTAGCACCTTGAAGTGCATCCGGAGTCTAATAGGCAACCAGTGCAGCTCGCGGAGGATAGGTGCCAGTCCCTCTCTCAGCTCAACCCACTCAGGGTTGTTATTGGAGAAAAAATAGGGCAGATAGGTATTGGATATGTTTGCTCTTGCCTTGAGTTGTTTCTAAAAATAATAAAGGCTGAGATAAATAAATACCTTCGTCCAGAAAAAGTTTATTTTTGGAATACTTAATTAATGTGTATTCTAGATGAATTTGTGAACTATTACAACTGTATGACATAACTTCTTGTGAAATATATTTGAATTGCCCCATGTTCTCTGTTTAAAATCTTGTGCTACGTCACTACAGCCTGCTTTTCATTATCTTTCTTCTTGTCCTCTTTCATCGAACAATTATGTTGGGCAACACAGCAAAAATGAAAATGAAATAATTCTATGAAAGTATGTTAACAACTTTCAAACGGTGACTCTCCCTCCCCCCATATACAAGACATCACATTAATATTATACAATAATTTTTTTAAAAAAAAACTTTAAAGTATATGAATAATGAAGTAAATTAGCTATTTTAATGTGTTCCAAGTGTACTTTATTTTGAATGATACCATCCAATAGCAAACACATGGTAATATCTAATTGAAACAACGTGCAGCTGAATGCTTAAATGTAGAATATAAATATACAGCTGCAAGCAGGTCAGAAGTCAGAGTAGTAAACACATGCCAAATTCCCACAGGGAACTCGTTAGTGCATGGCTGAATAGACTTGCTGGGGCTAAATGAATATCACTATTTAGACCTCCAGAACTGAGACATTGATTAATCAGTTATAATTAGATGGAGATGCTATTTTGGCTAATCTCTCTGCAGATGGAAAGCCTTCAATACTTTGATATAGAAGGTAAAACCAATCATAAAAATTAGAAAGCTGCTCAAAAGGTTTTTAGACATGTATAAAGTGGCAAGAGCAAGTTCCATTGGCATGTCAGTGCAGGCATTACAAGCTAGATGGCTGTTCCAGTTGATTTCAGTGAGATTTGGCATGTTTTGCTTTCTTTGGCTTTCAGCCTCTGAGTGCATACTGGAGAAAGTTAAGCACACTTAAGTTCTACTTGAAATTAATGAAATTAAACCCAATGCACATTATCTGGATAGTCTCCAAGCCTACAGTAGATGAGGCTGTGGAATTTGCATTGTGCCTGCTAAATATCCCGACTCGCATGAATATTTCACCATTTAATCTCTCTGTTAAAGTTGTGTATATAAATCACATGTATTTAGATGTGATTTCACATATAAAGTGACTTGTTCTTGTGTGATGCTGCAAAGTACACTTCTTTCTTTATGAAAGAAAGCGCTTCCCATCTTCAAAAAAGGGGGAAATGACTGTTGGCTTACCTGAATGGTCATTCTCTAGGTGCTGTAGGAGTGTCCAAGCATGGGTTAACTTCAGCTTGCTGCCCAAGGACTGAGTTCAAAGATTGTGTAGCCATGCCCCCTGCTCCTTTCAGAGGCTCAGTTTAAAAAATGAAGGTATGA